AGGTACAAAAGGCTTATGAGGTTTTGGTTTATGCGAGTTATGTATCCAAAGAGATTCAACCACTGGTTTTGCAGTGGATTCTAAACCCTCTGTTTGTGATTCCGTAGAAATAACATGTGATGTTTGCAAGTGCTGTAAATCTTCGCAATTTATGTCATGAAACGCGACAAAAACACAAACAAATATCGGAATTATTTTAAACTTCATTTTAATTGAGATTTTATATTACCACAACATTATGGTAAATGAATGATCAAATGAAATGTAACAAAAACTGATAAATTCTTGTGACACATTTCATACATTAATTCTGAGACCTATTTTACGTATTTTGAGTGAATTTTTATTTTGGCCCAAATTATATGTGTTTAAAACACATTTTTATACTATTAATGATTTTCAAGCATTTAAATCGTGTGATTTAAATACCAATTGATAACACATTTTATTATTAAAATAATTAATATAATAATTAAAATAATTTTAAAGTGCATTTTTTATAAACTGGGTATGTACTTCCGCATAATAATTATTTGTAAATTATGATTATATTATTAAATGAATTTTATTAAAACAATTTTTAATAATTGTGGAAAATATTCATTTATGCTATGATTAAATAAACTTATTTATTTAAAATAAACATTTAGCAATATTATAAAATTGTCATATTATTTATAAAAACTAAATTATATCATATTTAGCATGATTTCAATCAAACACGGGTGACCTTAAACCGGGTAAATGTTTGTGGCATTTCATGATTTGTTTGGTTTGTAACATCTAAGCCATCACCAAATTGTGCATCATTGCTTTTAAGCTGATAATCATTACCACATTTAGTAAATACGATTAAATAATGAATGACAACAAATATTACCTGCTCATTTTGTTTGTATGTGTATTTAGCGTGGTAACCCCTGTAATCGGCGCCTAATTATAAAAAATAAACTGCGGGACAATATTATTTACAGTTAAAAAACGTAAATTTATAATCATTTATAGATCAAATCAGTTTGTTTAGTCAAACCAATACATAAACTGGCGACCACTCCGACCACTACACAAATGGTAAAACCAATGGGCGATACCAATAGGTATGATATGTGAAAGAATCGGGCGTAACCTCTGGTAAGGGGCAAAATAATTTAACTAGTTTACATTTTTAACGTACAATTACTACAGGTGTGTGTAAAACACATTTATGGATATGTTTCTTGCAGCAAAACGTACTCAACGTTATCATATGAGGGTAAGTATGAAGAGGTGGGAAGGGCTGAGAATCGGTTCAATACATCCATTAATACCACTTGAGGACAGCTGTCGATAGTTGTGGTCAATGAGACCTTTGGCCGCGGGATTACCAGCGATCCGATCGCTAGTATTGCCGACACACCGAAACCGCATATAAATCCAAGTAATGATCCCTTAATAAAATAATAATAATAACATTTGTAAACTATAATAAATTATGTTATAACTTTACCGGAGCGGTTGCCCATGGTACAAATAGACCAATTAGAAACAAGGCAAAAATTGGTCCACTCATAGCACCGGTGAGCGCCATAGAGGCCTGCATAACAGTGCCCGCATTGCCCACAACAAATGAAAAGCCTATAGACAACAGTCCATATGACATGGCTAAATCCCATATTAATAGATTAACGACCATGTTCAAATACATTTTTAAACTAAATAATAATGTACCAATAAACTTTGTAATGTTAAGCGCTTGGGCTTCGGATTTCACCTTGATTCTATCTTTTAACAAATCTTCCCACGTTATGGCCGCCAGTGAATTAAACCCCGATGAAAGGGTACTGAAATATTATTGTTATACATGTGAATAATGTTAATTAATAATGTTAAAAAATTATATTTAAAAATGTTTACAAACCTGAGTGAACCACTAAACACACAGGCGACAAATAACCCTGGTACACCCGGATATTTCGATAGCGTATCCATTACGTAGTACGGCATCAATTGATCATGGCGATTTATCAGGCCCAAAGTGACCGGATCGCACGCATGATATTTGGCGTATATGATCATGCCCGAAAATGTGGCCATCAAACACAATATTATCAGTCCTGGTAGATTTGTGTAAAGCGACCTGGTATAATAAATGTTTTTTACTAAATATTTACTTGTTCATTAAATGTCACATACAATTTGGCGTTTCTTTTTGAACCCATATTACAGTACCGCTGGACCTGAGTTTGGGACACACAGTAAGAGCTGCACCAGATTAGGGTTGTGCCCAATACTACATTGAATAGGTTGTTGTGGTTGTATATATCAAACTGCATGCTGATGTTTTTAATTATCAAAATTTCATTTATTAAAATTAAATTTTATCATTATAATGAATAAATTAACTACGGCATAGAAAATTATTGTTGGTGGCATACTTGAAAAATTTAAGCCGGCCTCCCATCTCGTTGATTTCCCATATGCGGCCAAAACCACCCAGTTCGACCAAGCCCTTATAAATTAATACAGTATATATTTATTAGGGTAATACATAATGTAATAAATAAATTAATATAATATTTATTTACTTGTATGATAACCACAAATACACCCAAAAACATAAGTATACACTGAAGTACATCCGTCCAAATGACCGCTTTTATGCCTCCCTTTTTTGGTCAAAACAAATAATTTTTACTTATGGTAATTCTGTTATAAACAATATAAATACAACTAACAATTGTTGTATAGAATGTACAAATAAAGCCCACTACAAGTATTGAGGCAGATATGGACAACGGGGTAACTTTGTAAAGAAATATTAAATTATATATATAGTTATTTTCTGAATAAATACAATAATATTATTCTTTGTGTGAATACAAAACTGAACTGAGGGCCAATGCCGGTCCGTACAGCACAACCGCCATATACGGTACCTTAAAAATTACATTATGCTCAAGTAAAATGTTAAAACAGTGATCATGGTATTACGGTTGATAATAAAAATCCAATTGTGCCCGTTATGCGCATATATTGTGCGTCAAACCGTTTGGCCAGATACTAAACAATCATGATAAACAGTGCACCACAATTATTTATCAAGGTATATTAGTTGTATAGAAAATATATTAGTAAAAGTAATTACAAAAGTTTTATAAGTACCTCATTTACGCTGACAAAACCCAAGTCATAGTAGACGGGCATAAAAACCTCGGCAGTCAACACAATGGTGATGACCATCGAGATGATTTGCATGGAGATCTGTGTGCCCACCTGATACACCTCCGCCGGGAGGCCCAGCAGTGTGTTTGTGGACATAAAACTGGCGATCAGGGAAAGGGTGGTCGGGAATAGACTGAGCCGTCTATTTCCCGTCAAAAACTCATCATTTGTGCCATTTTTGCGGGATTTGAACCAAAAGTAGACACCGATTAGCGATGAGGCGATCAATAGTGAACTAAACACCAAATAGTCTATTATGGAGAAGTTTGTGTCCAACATATTGACCAGGGACACTTTTTACTTTAGTTTTTAAATAATTGTTAATGTTTATAAACATTAAATGTAAACATCGTTAAACAAATTGATGTGTTATTACAAGTTATACTTTATAATAAACACAGAGATTATGAATTAAATGTATTGTTTCTATTTATAAAACAAATATACTGTACTGTACAGTATGTTACGTTTTACCATATATTTATCACTTAATTTTTCGGTCAATTTACAATTTATAGTTTGTATAATAAAATGCACATAATAAATTGTATATATAAATTGTTTAGATTAAAATGCTAAACATTTTTATCAATCAATGTTAATCATAACAAATATAATTGATCAATGCCATATTATTAGGGATGCCCAATGCCATTTCCCCCATTAATAGTGTTATCATTTGCTAAATAGACTAAATTTATGTGAATAGTAATAAAATAAAAATATTATTTAAAACTTATTTAGTTTTACATTCATTGTTTTGATTAAAATTATAAACACCTGTTAATATTCTGTTATATAATAATTATTAAAATTATATTATTCATGATGCACAGGATATAAAATATTTAAAAATTAAATTATAATATTTTGATAAATTAAAATGGCCATGAGTATTTTACCTAAAAATAGTTTCAAAACTAGACATTATCAGTTTTTTATTTTAAATAGTTACACATTTTGTTATAAACTAATATTAAACCTAAACTAAAAACTACTTAAATTACCTATCAGTAATTTTGATGTTAGATATACGTTTATTCAGTTACATTATAATGTAACTAACATTGTTATAAATTAATATTCACGATAATAAATAGTCCATCTTGTTAATTAACAACCATTAAAAATTTAACACGAATTCTATACCAATTTAATAATAAACTAACTTAATGCATAACTGAACATTATAATTCTAGATTAAATAACTGAAACAGGAAAGTATAAATAAATAAATAAATTCAAATACTTTATAACAACTTAATATTTATTGTTCATCAACTTTAGTGATAGCATCAGTAATCTCATCGCTCTCTTCAGTGTCGGCATTACTTCTATCAATACTACTCCTGTCGACCGCCCCGTGATTATTGACGGCCGGATTGACAGCAATGGTGGACACGCCTAATATGCATCGGGAGGAGCACTTGCCCCGGATCTCTACCCTCCGGTATAGTGCGCTCAATGCACTCACACCGCCCTTTGCGCACCCGTGTTGGTCGTCCACCTCGTAGATGCCAACACTCCACCACTGGTCGCCAGAGCACCGGCCGCCTGATATGATGCCACACTCCAGGAAATCCAGGTTACCTAGTTTCCCAATTAATTATAGCATTAATTAATGCATAATAACATTAAAACTCTCGCAAACCGTTATTAAACGTATAAATCTTGGTCTTGTTTGTCAGATGCAAGCGCTCAGTGTTTCGGCCGCTATCGTAATAATTGCTATCGTAACCATAGTTATCACCCCTGCTGTGACCCCCACCACCTCCTCCGTGACCATTACCCCCGTGACCGGTGTCGCGACAAACGGCTTCGTAGTCCTGATCCTCTGCTGCCGTCCCTGATTTGCCGACAATCACTCCATTACACGTCCATCGCTGCCAATTCGTGCTCTCAATGCCTACTGACTTGAATTTGGATGTGGGGTCGCATACGTACTGCGAATTCCAGGTCACTTCCGCCTCAGCGATAGGCGTAAACGCTGTGTCCATCCATAACATCATAGTAACAAAAATTGGTTAAAAGGCATTGTTTGTGTCAACTGTAAGCACTATAGCAGCAAATTAATCAATACATACCCACTTCATAGGCTTTGGGCAGATCTGAAAATGCGATACAAAAAATTGTATTTTAAATATCAATTATAATACAAACAATAATTAGTTTTTGTGTAAAAAATAGTTGATATACTTCTGCACTGTCGCTCCGGGCGGGGCTGCGGTTCGTAAGAGGGCTGCCATTCCGGTTGGGGCTGATATTCGGGTACCGGCGCCGCCACTGGCGGTGCGCTCCACTCCGGGCGCGGGGGCCGCCACTCGGCAGCCGGGGGTTGGTATTCCGGTGCCGCCGGTGGGCGCCATTCAGCGGCCGGTGGCTTATACTCCGGCGTTGGAGGTCTCCATTCGGCGGCGGGAGGTCTATATTCGGCGGCCGGCGGTCTATATTCGGCTGCCGGTGGCCTCCACTCCGCGGCCGGCGGTCTGTACTCCGACGCCGGGGGCCTGTATTCAGAGACGGGTGGTCTGTATTCAGGGGCGGGTGGTCTGTGCTCGGGTGCGGGCGGTCGCCATTCGGACGCCGGAGGGTTGTAATCAGATGGCCAGTCGCCGTAGGCCGGGGGTCGATGACCCCCACCACTGGGCTGTGGCCGCCATTGTGGCGCCGGTTTATCCCAATCCGGTTCCTCGGGTTTGTCGTCCCAGTGGTCGTCGGCCTGTGGTTTGTGACCGTATTGTGCGCTCAAACCCACAGCACATGATATAATCAACGCTAAGTATGCCTTCATTCGTATCGTTAGACTAATACACGTCTAATTGAATGGAAAATTAAATTATATTTTTGATCAGATTTTTAATGATTTTATTGTTTTTTGGTGTCATTAAACCAAAACATATTTATTTATCATTTCAGATGTTTTTTATATGGAGTAATCAGTTTTTACTTGCATTTATTTTAACCTTTTTAAACTTTGTTGAAATAATATTTAGTCAAATTTGCAAATAAACATATAATTAAATTTTGTAACCATAATTTTTAGTACAAAGATAAATGTTAATTAAAATGAATTAATGGTATAAATTTTATATAATTGTTGTATATTTATATTATATAATACACTATAAGAACAATAATAGGTAATTAATAATTATTAATTTTATTTCTATATTTATTTAAATAATTTTACTTATTTTTAAACTACTTATTGATAATACTTTATAATTACTACTCAATAAATTTATTATGAATGCAAAACATGTTTGAAAAAACTAATACAAAAACAAATACACAAATATGTATTATATAAAAATAAAATAAAATAAAAAATGATTGTTTTAATAAAATAAAAACTCTATGTAAGACATAAAAGCATAACTCGTTCATTAAGAGCAAAAGGTTACTATAAGTCGTGATCGTATAGTGGTTAGTACCTTGCGTTGTGGCCGCAATAACCCAGGTTCGAATCCTGGTCACGACACAGTCCTTTTTTGCTTTTTATATTTATTTTATTCATTTTGTACCAATTTACTTTGAGCTTGTTAAGTTTTATGTATGCAGCAATTATATATTTATTTAATAACAGTTTATAATTAGTATTTACTATAATATTCAAATACTGTAAATTTATTAAACACATTAAAGGTATCATGTTCATAACTAATTATTGATATGCCTGATAAATCTGTTCTAAATACTTAAAGTAATTTACAATTTAAATGACAATTTTTAATAGTAATAGAAATAACATTATATTATACGTATTTGTATTAGTAGTTAATAAATTTATTTAGTTCCCAATGAACCTCGATGGTTATCTGTTACTATTATGAGTTGTACCACGTCAAAATAGTCTTATTAATTGGTCGCAAGTATATTTTGTCAAAACATATATCTATGTTAAACTACATGTAATTATTATATCCATGGCAGCAATTTTGTCATTTATAGTAAAACAATGACAAACATATGGTTATTGGGAATGACATTATCGCACATTTTCTGTTCATTTATTAGTAAAGGTTTTCACTTTTAAAATAAGCAATTCAATAGATTATTTGTGTATTTAATTTAATTTATAGAAATAATATATAATTTTGCTGTAATTTTTATTAAATACAATTCTTTAATTAAATGTATTAAAATTTAAAACAAATTTAAAAAGTTATAAAAAGTTGTTTGAAATAACAAAATTATTAATTTATTAAGCTGCAAATTAATTAATTTAGTAAATAAGCATGGTCAATTTATTTAATCTCAGCGGGTATTTCTTGGCAGATAAGCAGTTTTCCTGCGGCGTCTTCGAGACCAACGCGGATACTGAGCTTGATTTTAGGGTAAGAGCTCTCGACTGGCATTTGAAGCTTAAACTCGTTGTGACTCGACTTTGTTAGCGGACAGTGAAGTCCCCACTCTTTACACGCGTCGCTATAATGTGTAAAAACAGATTCATTTAATTCAATTATAACTGTTTAATTTTACCTAAAATTTAAAATTAATTAAATATTTACTATAATTTTGAATATTTATTTATTTAAAGTATTAGTTATTTATGTTACCTGTGAGTAAACGGGAACTCAATTGGCGAACCAGCGATCTAGCAAATAAGAGTTATAGTAATTTTTAAATTAATTAATTAAGTCAACAAAAATAATAAGGTAATTTAATTAAAGTAATACTCACAACAGCCCACAGTTTCACTTTGGCAGAGCTCGTGTCCACCTCTGTATTAAGCAGGTACATTTGAATTTAAAATACTATATCCAAACTGATACATGTAAATTAATAAATACATACTGGAGTCAAACTTGATGTCAATGCCGGCGTTGGTGCCCGTCTTGAACGTACAGTACTCATCGCCGGGTCCGCAGCCCTTAACCGTAACCGATGTGACGGTGCCGTCAACTGAACCGCAGTCCGTGATGTCGACCGACTGAACACAAGCGGTCAATGCGATGGCCGCCACAGCGAGGGTTAGAAATGCGTTCATTATAACTGATTTGCAATTAAATTATTGTTTAAACAATAAGTTTGTTTCACAAATGGTTTGTTGGCTGTGAAGGCAAATACACCTGTATTTATACAACTGTTGAGACGTTTAACTAAACATTGAATCTAATGGTTTGTCTCCAGTGTCTAGCTTCTAATCGTAATATTTTTGTATAAATGTATGATTTTTATCTCATATTTAATCCTTATTTCAGGTCTAAATCAGCCAAAAGCAAAAATAATCTACCAAACTTTAAATCGTGGTGTTACCATTTATTTTTAGTTAGCACTTATTTAATATAGAACAATTAATGCTTGTATGAGCTAGTTGTTTAAGTAACTATTTTGTATTTAATTATCCGTGTTTTAATTAATTTATTGTATTAATTAAATTTTTAATTGACTCTTGGATTAGTTATAATGTGACCCAACCCTAACATCCATTTATACCCCCAACCGATTGTTTGTCATAAAATAGTTACTTTAAATATAAGCAATGATTTCAATGTTAAAACAATGGGAAGATATGAGATAAACCACAATTGAAACCGATATACAGGTGCTTATCTGAAGGTAAATTCGAGGAATCTCAAAGTTCGTTGGGTATATCGCGTGATATTATATTGATTGCGAATTGTGCATGATCATCTATAATTTAAACAATTTTTAATATACATTCTGTATAATGCATTATTATAGATTAGGTAGAATGTTAGATCCCTGTGTACAACCTTGCACATATTGATTTAATTGCAATGCTAATGTTTTTATACACAACACTCAACGAGTTAGTTAAATATAATTATCTATATTTATTGGCATTTCAATTCAGTTGAAGTGTTTAACACATAGAGTACAGTACATTGTGAGGGGTTATGAGGAACGAACGTTATCACAATTTTACCGCAAAAATATTTACTATAATTTTTTGTCATACGATGTGTAATCCATCACAACAAACAAATAAACTCATTGTATTTTTTAAATATTTTTGTAGATATTTGTATATTTCCTGAAATTTTTGTTGTTTTTAAGACAAAAGAAATTATTTTAAAATAAAAATGATAATTAAACGGATATGAATTCACATGTACAATGAATTCATTTGTGAGCACACATTCAAGTGATGATTATATAATCCTTTTGGATCCTATGACTTATGATGATAACTGTGTTCCCAATGATCTCCTGTTGTTGCTATGAGGGCTTTGGATCATAATGCAATTATTTTAATAACTTTTATTTTGTTATGTTAATTTTAAATTAGATTGTTATTATGTTTAACTAATATTAATTTAAATAATCATCATGATCTAGTGTATTTTAATTTTAATTAATTTATTTTAAATTATTTAAATATTAAAAATGTTGAATAGAATACATATACTTATCTACACTATGTGTCTGTCATAACTACCAATACTTAAACATGTCTATGAATTAATCTATTATATTTAATATTAAGTTAGTATCAATAAAAATATATTTTAGTGGTTATTATTAGGTATTGAAGTATATGAACCCAATGAACCTCATTTGTTACTATGGGGCATTAAATCACGTACACATATTTTAATATACCTAATTTCCTTTTTATTTAATTTAAAATATTAAAGTATTTATAATATTTAATTTTAAAAGACAAAAAATATATATTTATACAATAAATATAAAGTAAGGGCATAAATAAACTTTACTTCATTTTTCAAAATAATATTAATTTTATTTAAATTACCGGTACAATTATTTTATTAAAGACCACCATTGGATACAAAACATATCGGGGTTATTGAGAATTTTGTTATCTGTTATTGTATAAAATTTATATTATAAATACTTAATTTAATCTTTAATTTAGTCATTTAATTACTTATTACCTTAATATTCTAAGAAATCATATTTTTATTAAATCCGTGCAATATTTAAGTAAATATATTTTGTATTTATGTTAAATCAAAATTATAATTGTTATTTATTAAGCACAAACAAAATAAAAATGGCATTAAAAACCCCATTTAAATAACAATTTCTAAATTACAGACATTTATCATTTGTTAATCACATAATAAATAACACAATATTTTAATGAATTTAATTTTTTTATTTAATGATGCATCATTTTTAATATTTATGATAAATACCATGGTATAAAGTTTAATTTAGACAATTTAGGTATATATTTAGTTAACCAATATCGTGATTACGGGTGTATTTCAGCGGGAAATCGTTGGCAAAACATATGTTGACCGCTGGTGTCCAACAGATCCACAGCGATCTCAACCTTTATGTCCAACGGTATGTCCGGCACATCCATCGCGATCTTCATCTCGTTATGTGAGCCCTTTTTGAGCGGACACTTGACGTTGTATTCGCCACCGCAGGCATCCCTATCAACAAGAGTTTACCATAAGCTTTTCAAATAATTAAACTAGATTTAGGTTAGTTTATTGTAGTAATCACAACATTAAAATTACAGCAAAACCATACAGTAATTAACTTACTTTTTTAAAGACCAAACCTCCGAACCTCCTAACTGTAAACGTGATAGAAATTTATAAAATTAATTAATAATTACAATATAATTATAATTCTTTATTGTGTACTTACATAACCAATTAGTACGAGAGTCAATTTATCAGTGTCCACGTCTGGCATATAGTATATAAGAAAAATTAAAATGATGTTTTTAATAATTATAAACAATTGCTATTTTATTATTTCTTATAATACTATACTTGAGATAAACTTGACATCAATGCTGGCCTTTTTGCCTCCTTTGAGCTGACAGTACTCGTCTCCCGGACCACAACCGGCCACCGCTATAGCCGTCACCCGACCGTCGACTGAACCGCAGTCCGTGTACTCAACACAATCTATAAGACCGTAGAGTTGGGCCAAAGACAGCGTTAAGACAATTATAAACTTCATAATTACTGCTATTGTTTTGTCCCACAATTGCTATGAAATTATTGAATAAAGTTTTGGTCTATTTATACGATTTGGTGCTAAACATATACCACCAATTTTACGGACATAGTTCAAATACTACGTGACTAATTATATTTAAAGGTTATACAGTTGTATGTCGTGATCAAGATGCAATATGTGCTGATGATAATTTGCCCACCAACTTCAAAATTAAATATTAAATCGTTGCTTTACTAAATTACACTTGACTTTATTTAAACACCAATTAACCAGAATATAACATTTTTAGAATTAAAATAATATAGCATTTTTATTTATTGGCCATGACCATCTTAATTTGATACACTAATTGCATTGCATGGTTACCCCCGGTATATAAACATGCTTGAATATATCGGTACAGTTATCATAGGATGGGTTATAGAGAACACAGTTATCATTGATTTTGTGCCATAAAAGGAGTTATATTTTTCTTTGAAATATTAAATGCTTTAAATCATAATACGATAAGTGAGTACTCAATAACCTGACTTATTTTTCTAGTACCTAGGTACTAATACTGGCAAGTATTGGATTTTCCAAGAGTTAATCAAAAACTTTTATCATTTATTTTGAGATCAAAATAGCACTAAAATTAAATTAAAATTAAATATTTTATAACTTTATTTATTACATTCAAAGTATAAAAATTATGTTAATTAATAATTATTATAACATATACACAATTAAATGAAATTGTGATCAAAATCCTAATCAATTAAATTAAAGTATTTTTTATTTACAGTTAAACAGTCAATTATTAGCAATAATTTATTGCATTGAAATTAACGCCCAATTTATGACCAATAATAATAAGCTATAGATATTGAATACAAATCACGTGATCATTGCATTCACTAAACAAATGCCTCCCAAAGCCTATTGAATGCCAAACACTAATCCATTCAACACTTGCTGTTAGTCTGAAAACACGTGTTATTTAATCCATTAGTCCATTGGTTTGATCTGTTTTTTTATGATAACAATCAGTCACTCAATAGTCAGTTGGAGTTTAGTTGAGCTCAAGAGCTGTTCCCAAAAGTTTGCATTTTGTTGACAACAATTGGATCATCAAATCAGTGGTAAGTCTTGAGAATTGCATTTTTAAAACACGTGTTTTTTCATTTGTTTTGCAATTTTATGGCCAGAAATGTCACCAAAACTGTCGAAACCGTTATCACCGGGAGATGTGGTCACTCAAGACATGCCATTCATTCATATCCTATACGATGAATACAAAGACAATTATTGCGATAATTGTGTCGAACGATCGGATCAACTGAAGAGATGCGCGAAATGTCTTCACATGTATTATTGCAGTAAAGAGTGTCAGAAGAATGACTGGAAGTATCACAAGAATGAGTGTCCACTCTATCGCCGCCACTGGTCTGAAACGCTTCTAATGGATCGGCTATTCCTCCGGATCTTTCTTTCGGTCAAAAAGATCCCAACGTTTGCCACAGAAAAGCACCGATTGTTTGACGGATCGGAAGTCAGTCTCAATGACATCAAAGACAAAGCCATCGATTGGAAAGGAGATGACGA